GTAACAACAATATTCCCTAGTGACTTTATAAAGTTCCAAATACTATCTATCTATTTCTTGATCTGAAGACATTCAATCTCTAAGCCTTTTAAAAAGAGTAAATTAAAGAAACCAAAAGGAAAGCAGAAATGTACGTTTGATCTCATTCCATTTTATTTTAAAATTCAAAAATAATAACGTCACACTATGGTTCAAATATTTTAGATTTTCAATTTAATTTGTGAGTTAGAATTCTATCTTAATAAAAACAAATTCAAATCTCTGTGGCTCGTTTCACTGGTCATGTATCATAAAGAATCAAATATCCAGAGCATAGTAGATCTAGAATGCCAAAACTAAAATAAAATCGAAACAACGAATGTACAGAAGAATAAATCGCAGAATTCACAGTATTCTATGCAAAAACTCAAGAAAAGGCACTAAAAGCTAGAAATTAAAAATGGCGAAGGATCCAGAAACTCAATTCTGATCTAGATCCTGTAAGAGATCACGTTATCAGGCATCCAACCACGACAAGATTTCATTGCAACAAGTATCTTGATCAAACATTACATCAAGAATGGTTGACAAAAAAAAAAGAACCAGATCGCAGCTACAAGACTCAACAGGTTCATTATCCTAAGATTCTTGAACAAGAAAAAGACACATCCCTGTACAGTTTCAGTTCAGGTCGCACAAAACGTAGAAACTACTACCATCGTCAACATCCAGCTCCATAGAAAAGCATAGATCTAAAATCATGAAGAAGAAGACTATTCAAGGAGTAGAAGTCACCGGATCTGATCAGAAACGCCGGGTTGAGGTTGAAGCAGACGATTCCTTGAGTAGAGCAGGGAACAGAGATCTCACCACCACGTTACTGACGTTTCTGCTGTGTCCTTGAGCATCATGATCGGCGAGATCTCCAGCACTGCGAAACACGTTGAGGCATTTCCTCGGCACATCTCCGTGTATCGTCGGTGGACTCGAAGGTTGTGTTCCTCCATGGCTTTTTTGCTTTCGAAGCTCGCCTTGTCGCAACTTATACAGCAAAAATTGCCTTGCTGAGCCATTATTTGAGCTCGTTGACAAGACTGATGGATTTTAGGAATTTGGTTTAGAGATCTGAGAGAGAGCGGGCGATCGAGAAGAAGAAGAAAGGGGACGTATTTAAAGACGATCGCCATCCAGGCGCAATAGCTAAGATTGTGTGTAGAAGCGGGCACACGTGTCGAGAAGTTGTTAGGTTTGGCAGGGGGTTCTTGCGATTTGGAGCTAAACTATACTTTTTCATTTTACTAGATAGATTGCACGTGTAATGCACGTGGTAATTTTTTAAATTTATTATTTTATTATTGATTTATTTCATTAAGATTTATTTAATTTAGACAATGTATCAAACATATTGATAGAATTTAAAAATTCAAAAGGATTGAATATTGAAATTACATTTATGCATAAACCGGGTGATAATAGATTGTTTGCATCCTTAACAATAGTAAATAATGAATAATTTTATAAAAGAATTTTATTTGATATACAACATTGAGTTTCAATCAACCAATCCTACCTATATACAGATGACAATAGACAACCTATTTAATCATAATCATCCAATATAAATGCTATTAAAATAGTAGCATCATTTTTTTTCTTTAGTCCTATTTATTTCTATCTCCTCAAAACAATTAATAGTCATGCAACAAACAATAGAGATACTATAAATATCTCTCTTTATCATTGGATATTTTAAGCTTTAATGGTTCCAAATTTCTTTCTAGCGGTAAGCTACTTATACCTATTACGAGCGTGAGATTTTCTGATTATATGTATATGAAATTCATCGAATCAAAGTAAATTGCAAGATTTTAAAAAATTGCGAAGATAGTATAGGTCAAGAATTTTTAGAAGGCAAAGAACCAAAGAATCATACTCTTAAAACATACTCTTAAAACATCAATTCTATCTTTGATAAAATCAATTGCAGATGAAACCAAAGGCAGGAAACCATGAGACTATAACTAAAAAGAAACAGATTTGTCTTTACAGATATGGATCAGCTTTAATTGATATGAAACAGATTTGTCTTTACAGATATGGATCAGCTTTAATTGATATTTCCTGTAGAGTTCACTTCAGATTGGGCTCCAATAAGTTTCTTATTAGAATGAAATTCAGATGTCGCATAGATCCACTGAAGCTGACTTATCACTGGCTAAAAACAATGAAATATAGAATTATTGATTCACCAAAGCCTCTTTTGAATCATTTGCTACCCGTGTTTTTTAGTAAGATGCCTGCATTTACGGCTTGTCCCGATGCACGGCGACGAGAAGGGCTGCTAACCAACAAATTGTTCTTCCTTCTTTACCATCTAAATTAAAGTTTTCAAGTACAAAATTTAGTAAATGCTAGTCTGGGAAAGGTATTTTTGGCAGTAGTTAATAAAAATGAAGATATTATAAACACATTTTATCTATGTTAGGCCTAAGAACAAATGATCATGTTAATAAAACACAATAACTGAGTGGCACAGAAGCACTTGGTCAGGAAATAAATAAAACATGTACTGGAGCAAGCATGAAGGAGGAAATTTTTTTAATAAAAAAGAAAGTGAAACATGATGTATTTTAAGACATAAACAGATGTAACAAACTTAACACCAGACTCCCAAAGGAATAGTTAGCAAAATCAACTACCATGTTGCCTATTGACGTTACCAAGAACTGGTGCCAACCCAAAGCTAGGTCCTGCTCCAGAACCCTATATGGAAGATAAAAAATAAGCAAGGTGTTGCTATGATAAACAAATGAAAACCTATCTGCAAGAAATTAATAAGCCTATATATGCAAGACTTACAAGAGGTCGTGGAGGAGTGCTAGCAATTTGTGATTGGTAATACTTCAATATGGTCCAATCAAATACATATTAAATAGAAATCCTGTAGATTAAGATTCAACATCTTGCTTGAGAATTGCAGATATCTAAATCTGCCATTAGCACAGAATTCCTCGTCAACATGAACAGTCGCGAATAAAAAGGTCACTGAATATTCTTATTAAGTTATGAATAATCAGGTTTGTCATCAAACCGTAGTGAATGGTGTTTGTGGAAAATTTGATGTAAAGGAAATGAAAGAAAAATTGATTTGTATTCTCTCAAAATCGATTACAATTGGATTCCGATTATAAAAGAGAGGAGAATGAATTTGATTCTCCCCTTTGTTTAAAACTGGGTTCTTCTTGGTAGCGATGGAGTGCCTCCTTCGATTGCTTGCGTTGAACTTGCTCTCCGTTGACGATCCGACCGTACTATCTCATGAGAACGATTTGACTTGTATGATGAATCCGGTTTAGAACTCTTAACAAGTTTAGTAAACTCAGAACGAGTTGAAAACTCTGAAAAGAGTTGTTGAAAACTAAATGATCGATTAGTGTAATTAGCTTGCGTTGCAAGTCTAATTAAGAACTCTTAACGAGTTTAAGAACTCAGAACGAGTTAAAACTCTGTAACAGAGTTGTTAGAACTAAAAATTCGGTTAATAGCCGAGTAGACCCGCTGTTGGTGAAGAGATTCTCCGAGATTTGATTAACTGACTGCTGATCAGTTCCTTGATCTTCACAAAACTCCCCTCTCAGCCCAACTTTCGATGGTTTTGGTCCAAATCTCCAGCTCTGTGCAGTTTAGAGGCTAAAACCGATCAACCCCTACTCAGTTGAGTAATGCGGTTATTTATAGGGGGATAAGGGGTGTAACCAACCCCTAAATCCGCTCCTAAGTGGGCGAGAATCCCTCAGAACGTGGGATAAACGGTTGTTAGGCCGTTCAGCTTGTGTTTGAACAATTCAAACGCCTGATTTGGCGTTCTGGGCCTTAACTCTGCGCCTAAGGCTTGAGACGCAGAGTTAAATCTCTGCTAGAGATTTGAAACGCACAGGCCGTTTGTGTGCTGAACCTCAACTCTGCGTCTTGAGTTTGAGACACAGGGTTGGGTGTTTGCTGAAGAACGCATAGTCCGTGCGTTTTGTGTTTTAACTCTGCATTGCAGAGTTGAATATCAACTAGAGAACGCACAGTTCGTATGCGTTTTGAGTTTGGGAAATGCAGAGATGGACTCTGCGTTTAGGAGAGGTTGTTGGATTGTAGCCTCATCCATTACAACATCGCAAAGGCTACGGCTCATTGATCTTTGCTTGTTATGAGGTGTGAAAGTCGTCAGATTGTAACTCTCACGGTTGATTATGAAGGCTACTGAATAGCGTTTTCATCAGTTGTCGGAAGTATCGTCGAATTGTAACTCTTCTCGATCTATGTGAAAAGTCCTCTATTTCCAGCTTTCGTTTGTTGACATGAAAGCTATCTGATTGTAGCTTTCATTATTGGACCTTGATGGGGATCCATTGTGATTTTTAGACGAATATTTGCCCACAGCTCTCTACCAAGTAACTCATCAACTAAATCCAACCTTTTATTTCTGAAATCATTATACTGCTCATCAGCATCTCTAATAGTTGCTAATATAATATTAGTCATGTTGTTGTCGCAGCAATCAAGATCAATCATCTCAAATATGAGACCGTGTTTATAGCGATTGTAGAGTTACGGATGCAGTGATTAGAAAGTCGTCTGATTGTAACTTCCATTGTTGAAGCTTGATTGGGGATCAGCTATCCATTGTGATTTTTAGACAGCCTACAGAATCCCCTCTAAAGTTTTCGAAAGTTCGCGGTTGACTGGGACGAATTTTCGGAATACTTTGGATCCCAAAATTAAAGTTTTCGAAAGTTCGCGGTTGACTGGGACGAATTTTCGGAATACTTTGGATCCCAAAATTTAGTGTATTGATTATTCACTCCGTCTGATTTGAAGACGTCGCAAATCTGGTTGTTGTAATGTTGAAATTATGTTACCCCAAACCAAACAACGTAACCTTTGAGTCTTGATGACAATGAACTTAATTAAACGAAACAAATCCCAAGTCATCGTCAGACTCATCGACAGGCTCGTCCTTCTTCTCTACTTCATTGGAGGCAGGAACAACAATCATTCTTAGCAGATGCAATAGGAACAACAGCAACAGCAAGGACGTTCTTGTAGGTATTGACGAACATGTGATGCGCCGCTGCAAGGGTTGGGTAAGAGAGAGTGGAGGATAGCGAAGCAATCATAGAAACACTAGTTGCAAACTTGTCAACGAGGTCATCCTCCATGAGGTTGAATACTTCTGGGCTTAAGACAGATCCATCGTCATAGACAGAGAGAATCGCAAGCCCACATGAGAGAGGTTTTATCCTACATTTAATTAGGAGGACAACCTCAGAGAATTTTACTTTATTTCCTTTCTTGATCAGCTCAACTTACTCCTTGTTGGGATGTTAAGCCATTTAGAAGAATGAGTTGCGCGTCGGATCGAGCCAGACGATTTTTTAATGCTGTCGATGGCAGTCTATCTGTACTCATACTACCGACTCCCCAGCGAAGTCGTCTGTTTCTTCTCGGCTTTGGTCACCTTGATGGCCACATCTACTTTCCTCCATTTATTCAAGGCTATTGTCTTGGCTTCCAGCATCGGGAAATTCGTTTGGTTGTATTAAAACACACAGGTGGACTGCCAAAGAATTGGAACGCAGAGCTGAACTCTACGTTCAGAAGCTTAACCGACGCATAGGTGGATTGCCAAGGAATTGGAACGCAGAGTTGAGCTCTGCGTTCAGAAGCTCAACCAACGCAGACGCACAGGCCGTGTTTGGCGGGATTCTGGGCCTAGAATCTCACCCTGATTCGACAGCTCATAGCTGTCTATAAATAGACCGCTGGGTCAAATCAAAAGTCATCTGACTTTTCATCTGTCTTTTCTCGAAAATCCTAACGAAGATTTCATTTCGAACTTCGGTGAATCCTGTTCATCTTCTCCGATCATCATCCTTAATGGGACCGAGAAAGAAGATCGTCTCTCGTCAAAAGTCGGCTGCTGTCGCTGCTCTACGTTCTCGGTCGACCTCGGCAGTCGGCGGTGATGGAACTCCGGCTAGTGCGTCGTCGGCACATGCTTCCCTCGTCGGTGGTAAGTATCGACCTTCATGGCCACAAAACTTGCTTCGGCGAGTTCTCTGAAAACCCTAGATGGGTTCTTGTGAACGAGGAAGATGACTCGTTTTGATATTGTAACGCAGAGTTGGAACTTTGCGTTTCGAATTTGAAACGTTGGGGTCCGACCTCTGCGTTAATGAGTTTTGACACATGGTCTGGGCTGTGCGTTTGGAAGCTCGACGCAGGGTTCGACATCTGCTTTTGATAAAATTTTAACGCCAGGTTTGAACTGTGCGTTTGAAAGCTTAACGCAGAATTCGACCTCTGCGTTGATAAAATTCAACGCCAGGTTTAAACTGTGCGTTCGAAAGCTTAACGCAGAGTTCGACCTCTGCGTTGATAAAATTCAACGCCAGGTTTGAACTGTGTGTTCGAAAGCTTAACGCAGAGTTCGACCTCTGCGTTGATAAAATTCAACGCCAGGTTTGAACTGTGTGTTCGAAAGCTTAACGCAGAGTTCGACCTCTGCGTTGATAAAATTCAACGCCAGGTTTGAACTGTGCGTTCGAAAACTTAACGCAGAGTTCGACCTCTGCGTTGATAAAATTCAACGCCAGGTTTGAACTGTGCGTTCAAAAGCTTAACGCAGGGTTCAACCTCTGCGTTGATAAAATTCAACGCCAGGTTTGAACTGTACGTTCGAAAGCTTTCACTTCTCTAAGGATTTTGACTAAGGTTCCCTTTGTTTTATTTCCTCGTTGACTAATTGAGTACTTTTCTCTTTTGCAGTGCCTTACTCCCGCGAACCTCTTACTCTTCGTCACCATTTCGGGCGCGAGGGTGGCGTGGATGTAAATATGCAATTCAATCTGCGTCAGGAACTCCTAATTTTTCAGGATGCAGACAAGGATCGTGTTACCCTGATTTCCCATCCAAGCATAGCTGTACTCAGGATTTTGGTGACAGATGCCAAATTCGAAACCGACTCCCGCAAAAAGCTCACCAAACCGACATTCCTGTTTGGCGATCATGTCGTCATCATAAAAGAGATTGTGACTGACGGCCATTATAAGTGGTTGAGGCAAATAGGAGATCGTCGCTTCTTCCTTCCTGATATGCATAGGATGTTTCCTATCGCTTATTATCAGTGTGCTTCTGTCCCTCGACATATGGATTAGGACCTTGTCCGGGAGCAGGATGGGGTAGCTATCGGGGCTTTAACTTACACAGGTGTACACACTGTAGGTTACAATCGACAGGTGTCAGCTTTGGAGCCCTGCTTATTCTCACGGGGGTATCCTTTAGGGGAAACAGCTAGCACAACCAACACTTTTATGCGGAGGTTTCTGGCCGCGAAAGGAGAGTTCCCTTCCTCAGTATTTAGGGCTCCTGGATGGGTACACTCTACCGAGACAGGATGGTGGACACGAATGACGGAATTCATGATGACAGAGTTAGAGGGATCATTAGCTCAATCTGGGCTTGGTTGCCCTATAATGGCTACCAGATACGGCATTGACTACAACTATTACAATTTTTTCGCTGTTCTGGAGAAATACAACCCGGAGACGTGTACATTCTTCACACCTATGGGGGAATTAGGGTTTTCCCTCCACGAAATGTATGACGTTTCGGGTCTTCCTTTTGGAGACTTGCCCTATGAGGAGTTCATCCCGGGGTCAAATGAGCTTAGGATTTTGAAGGAGATGCACTAGTAGAAAATGTGCTTTTACCTACGGAAAAATAGCGACGGAATTTTTCGTCGCTATAGGTTGATTTATAGCGACGGAATTAGCCGTCGCTATTTATCCGTCGCTAATAAAGTTATAGCGACGGATTATCAATTTTAGCGACGGAATTTTTTCGTCGCTAAAATTTTTTACGACGAAATTTTTTTTCGTCGCTAGATTATTTTTAGCGACGGAATTTCCGTCGCTAAATACGGGGGATTAAGATATCTAAATATAAGGCATATGATGCAAGGAGGAAAGCGTTGTCTAAAATTTTTGGAGATTGGGAAAAATCATATGAATTACTTCCACAGTATCTTGAAGCTATCAAACGAAATAATCCGGGTACTGAATACGAAATATTATCCGAAGAGATTGCACCGGGTATGGAGAGGTTCACTCGCGTGTTTTGGGCATTTGGTCCTGCTATTAAGGGCTTCACTTTTTGTCGTCCGCTATTGAGCATTGATGGTACACATTTATATGGAAAGTACAAAGGCGTGCTTCTTGTAGCGACCGGTGTAGATGCAAATGGCGGGTTATTTCCTCTAGCATTTGCAGTCGTGGAGGTGGAGGATACGTCTAGTTGGAAGTGGTTTTTTGAACTTATATACAAGTGGATTCCAAGTGTCCGTGCGCCAAGAATAATTACCTTTATTTCGGATAGGATGAAAGGAATTATAAGGGCGTTACATGAGGGTTTTAGTGCACCACATCACCATCGATATTGTTTAAGGCATATAAGAGATAATTTCAAGAAAAAACACGGTGAGATTAATTTGCAAAATCTTTTGTGGCAAGCCGGGTGTGCGACCGACACATTAGTGTATGAACATTGCAGGGAGAAAATCAAGTCTTTGTCATTAGATGCACATAATTGGATTGAAAATAACTTGAAGCCTCAATTCGAGCATCGGTGGGCATTATGTAAGGATGAGGGTGTGCGGTTTTGTATGATGACGACTAATTGCTCCGAGAGCTTTAACGACGTTCTTAAAGGAGCACGAGCTATGCCAATACAATCTTTGGTTGCGAGAACATTCTATAGACTAAACGCATACTTCAACAAAAGGCGTGGTGATGGCATAGACTGGACAACACGTTACACACCAAAAAACGAGTCCATTTTGCATAGAAGAATTGAGGCAGTAAGATCATGTCAAATTACCGTATTCAACGACAACGAATGGCAGGTACAGGATTGTGACGGTATCTACACCGTTAAACTATTTGATGTTGATTGCACTTGCACATGTAACATACCACAACTCCAAAAAATACCCTGTGCACATGTGCTTGCGGCTTCTTCTAATCAGCCGGGAGGTGCTAGAATTCCCAGAAATCGGTATTGCTCGCCTTGGTATTCAACAGCTCACTATCAAAAGACATATAGTGAGAGTTTTCATCCACCTGATGATAGTCGGTATTGGCCTGAATATAATGGACCACATATAGTTCCACCTCAGTACCGGAGACAAGCAGGTCGACCACGATCTGTGCGAATTAGGGGAACCATGGATCAAGGGCGAGAAGGAGTGGTCAAGCATAAAAAATGTGGTATTTGCAGGGCGAGAAGGAGTGGTCAAGCACAAAAAATGTAGTCTTTGCAAACAACCGGGACATACTCGACCTCGTTGTCCATCTAGACACAATAGATAGCAACTAATTGGTAATTTATATCATTTTTTTATTTTTATATACTTTAATAAAGAAACTGAATTACTATATGATTGATTATTAACATGTGTATAATTGTATGTGCAGGTTTGTACACCATGGATCCTGGGCCGGTTAGTGATGAGGTCTTATATGACCAGGCTCAGCATCGTTCACATATTATATCCTGTACAGAGGTAATTCAGTTACTTTATAATTGTAAGGTCCTTCTAACGTGGTAAAGCGTTATGGAGGCTACTGTATCAACGGCTTTAGGTTTAACACCATCGGTTTCGAAGAGAGACGACAAACGCAAAATAGCGGTGTGTTCTGCTCCTTCTCGCAACTGTCATACGCTAGTTCAAAAGATCTAAATCCGATACAAGGTGAAATCTATTGCTACGGTCAGGTAGAAGACATTGTGGAGATTTTCTATGGGATTAATAATGAAGTCAGACATGTGATGTTTAAGGTTCGTTGGAGTGAGCTGAAAAAGGCGAAGGATGACTACGGTTACACACTCGTTAATCTTAACAAGGAAATATATCAGACTGAAAAGTACATGTTAGCTGCTCACGCAAAACAGTGCTTTTATGTCAAAGATATAATGAAAAATGACGAATGGGTTGTCCTTAAGAATCCGCCTAGATCCTACATTCATGAAGCCGTGTCTGATGAAGATCATGAAGATGTTATCTTGGCCGACGAAACAGTTGCTGAGTTTTCCTTGACACAAAATAATCTGGTGGATGAAATTGCACTGGCGCGCCCTGATGTACCTGCGATTATATGTGAGCCAAGGCGTAAAATCAAAAAACGAGTCCACGGTAGAGTCGATAAAACTATAAGGACAGTCCTTTTGTCTGCACGCACACGGTCGCAGGCTAACCGCACACGGTCGCAGAGTAGAGCCTCAACATCATCATAATAATATAATGCTTGGTTATGATTTAAAAAGAACATTCATGTATCTGTTTGACTGGTTAACATGTATCAGTTTGTGTTATGTATTATAGTATTGCCTTTATATTATCTGTTTGACTGGTTATCATGTATCAGTTTTTGTCATGTATTATAGTATTGCCTTTATATTATCTGTTTGACTGGTTATCATGTATCAGTTTGTGTCATGTATTATAGTATTGCCTTTATA